TCATGTTGTCTCTTTACAACAATAGAAACCCTAACTAAGACAATATATAATATACTATTATATATTATCAATATATAATTTTAGCAGATATATCAAATTTATGCTGAGAAAAGCCTAAGTTATTAAAATATTTTAAATTCCATATTCTGTCACTTGAAGGTTACCTATCTAAAATATAGGTCTGTATTACCTTGAAAACCTAACTAACATGATTATAAGTTTGATAGATATGGGTGACTATTAGTCTGTATTTCTTTATTATCTTGAATAGCTTTTAAGGACTAAAACTTCATATTGCATAATTAAGCAAGCTGTATAGTTATGAGCTGTGTAGGTAATACTTTAAACAAAAATAGAAATAGATGTGCAGTATAAGGACAATAACCTTAAATTTGTATCAATATACAAAAATCCTTTAAACAAGAATAGTAACATACATACAGTGCAACAAAATTAACTTTAAATTTATATTATACCAAAATCCATGCCAATGCAAAATATCTGAGATTAATAATTGTCTTTTTATCCTATATCCTTATATTTACCTAAATATAACAAACATTCATAACTCACCAAATAACCATGATCATCCATACCCCTCAACTCTTGGAAATATAGACACTGGTTTTTTTTCAAACTGCTTTCTGTTGGTTGTGGATGAAGCGTCTTTAGGGTCCTTGATAAAATTTTTAGATAATGACCAAGTTCTTGGAGGACCAGTGGTAACTTTTGTTGATAGATATCACCTGTCAAGTTTTAGGAGGTCTCCCCTGAACAAAGCTGGTCCATCTTAGACTGGAACAAATCCACAACTTCTTGTTTCCTCCATGGCTGCTAGTGTCTCTCTTGACTCTGCCCTTCTTTCCCTGTATTCAGTATGCAGTTTTTTGTCTTACTTTTGGGATCAGGGATATTTAAAACAATTGAAAATTAAACATGGGCAAATGTCAGTACTCACTGGAATTCCCTCCCAATACTATACTATATGATTTTCTGTTTCATTTTTTCCATTCACATCTTCATATTCTTTACTATATTTCTAAATCCCCATGCATGTACCCTGGCAGGAGGTATTTTTGTCGAGGTTGGTCCCTGATATATATGTTTGGTCAAAAGTGAGACCCTAGCCACCTGACACCCCTATATCCAAGAAGTCTGGGATGTTTGGGTAAAAGCATCACCCCAGCTCTTGGCATTTATCCTTGGAGTACCAATGGAGCAGGAATAGAGCAAGAAGCTCCATTTCAAGCCCCCTCCCCTGGGAGTTGTCTTGATCCGGATTCCACCTCCGGGAAAGCCCACCAAGTGCTGACTCCTCCCCAGGGAGGGTCAGGACGACTCCAAGAGGCTATTTAGGCTGCTGCCCAGAAAAGGAACATGTATTCTCGGGTTCTGCGTGGTCTCCCCCATCTCTTTCTTCCCCTTGCCATGCCTTCCCATGCCATCTGCAGTAAACATGGGCATCTTTTATTCAGTCTAATTTGGTCTGATTGGAATTATTTGCGTCGGTGGAGAGATTTGTCTTAAGAATTATTCCTGATATATGGAGGTCTCCACTGAGGGAGTCTGTTTTTTCCACGGGCCCAGCACCACGTGCCAGAAAATGCCCTTCTTGCACACTCTCCACAAGCCGAAGACTGGCTTTTGTCTCACAGAGTTCCACCCCCCCCTTTTTTTTTTTTTTGCTTTATGTCCATAGGGCTATAGGACCATTCATGTTTATTTTTGTTGATTAGCTGAGGTGAAAACTGCATGACCAGAGACATATGTCACTCATTTTTTACGACCCCATTTTGACTCGAGTTGTCCCAGTGGATGCACTGTGACAGACTTGAGTCCCACAATTGATACTTTTAAATGGGTTCTTGCAATTCAAAGCTGCTTCTTTAAATGCTCTTGGGCGGCCTTTTACAAAACTTCTTTTTAAATTGGGACCATCTTACACCTAAAGTACAAGTAAACAAGGCTCCAAAAGCCCGTGGTTTCTAAATGCATGCCTGAAAAGCACAGACACGTGGGTAACCTCCATTTTGACCTCTCCACCATCTTGGGTAAGAGTACCCACATGTGCTAGTATTCATTGACTTATTAAAATATTCCTTTTAATCTTCTTACATTTACTAGCATTGGTAAACTGTAACTAATTGGATAAGATACAGGTCTAAATTTAGCTTATATGCCCAGTTTAAAATAACAGGTAATGGTACCCAATTCTCAAGTGCCTTCACAGATCTGAGAGTATGCTATTTAACAAAAGAGCTTCTAACACAGAGACACGCCAGCTCCCACAGCATTCTATAGCTCCTCCAAGAAGATGCATGGTTGCAAAAGACCTTCTACCTCCAGGCTTGCCTTTGGGTTTGGCAAGGCCACCCACACAACAAAAAGCAGTCTTTCACCCCTTCAGCTGGATGCCACCCAGGAATCTATCTTCTCATTCTGCCAAGACAGGTAGACTAAATTCTCACACACACACAGAAAAAATCTTTGGGCCTCTTGTACTCAGCAGTTAACGGTAAGCACTGCTTCTAGGCTGATGGTTTCCAAGAACTAAGGAGAGACTCAGGATTGCCTGCATAGCTAAAAAAGCTGTCTCAGTTTTGCTTATTTATCCCTTCCAGAACTGTCTAATGGCATTTGATGACCTAAGGTACTGGTAGCTCATTAATTCATTTATTAAGTTTCCTGCTAAAAATAGAGACAGGTGTGTGCCTCTTTCACAGGCTTCATAGTTCAAGATTAACAGGTTTTAGGTGTATCTTAAAAAAATCCAGAGTTCCCAATTCCCTTTAATTGTCTTCTAAAATGTACGTAAGTTCTGCTGCTGTATCAAAAATCAGGTCTGGTAAAAAAAAAAAACAAAAAACAAAAAAAAAAAACTAAGAACCTCCAGAGCCTATTTTAACCTCACCCATTTTCAAGCATATTTTACAGGTCACCCCTGCTGTCTGGGCCAAGACCTGTTGAAATAGGAGCGGCGGCAGCTGCGTCCCCAGCACCCCGGCCGCTTGGCTAGCTCATGCCCGAAATAACAACACACAAACTGTATTCAAAGACCAACTTACAAAACATTCTCCAGACAATGCCAACACCTGCACCAGCTCCTGGGACTTCACCATTGGTACCAACTGTGATGGAGGAGGGTCCCCCAAATTCTGCCCCCCCCTTGTCTAACCACAATAAAAGCCCTCAGCCCATGCTGCTTGAGGTCTGTCCTGCTCAGCTGCTCTTTTAGATGGACAGAGAGGTCAGAGTTAACTTGCAATAAAGAATCTTTGTTTTTGCATCAGATTAGGTTTCTTGGTGGTCTTTTGGGGTTCTGGACTTCGGGCACAACAATTCCCATGGGCATACTTACATACACATAAATAAAAATAATAAAAATAAAAGTTTAACAATTTTATCATAGTACTATAGAAGCTTATATATACATATAGTAATATGTATATGTACACACATAATAATATGTATACACACACACACATATATATATCTCAAGAGGTTTAATGGAGTTACCACACAATGGCGGGATAGTACCCCAATTTGACACCACATGTTAGTAAATAAAAACCCAGAACCAGCAATTTGCTATCTCATTTTGAGATGTTGGCCAATAGAGTCAACCCCCAAGCTTATAGGTTATTGCCGATACTCTGGGCAATGCCCCAGGACCTAATGGTCTGATACTATTGCTGACTCAAAGAACACAGAGAAACCAAGCTGGTGCTTACCTGGAAGCTTCATCCCTATTGGCTAACTTTCATGGAGCTGGGAGGTGCAATGCATGACACCAGAGGAGAAAAATAATCGTCTGTCTCACCCAGCTCTGAAACCTTGCAAGCTCCAAATACAATTGGCCTGACAAGACATGCCCACTGACGCAATAGGGGCACAAATGTCATGAGAGTCACCCACACCTTCTGACTGTATCTAAGGTCTGCTCCAGGAGATGGAACCGGTATCTAGCACTGTTAAAGGGGCCAAGACCTGTGGCTAGATAGGCCATAGGCCTTAAGAAAGAACTCAACACTGTTATTCTGCTAAATGGAAATCGTATTAAAATTACTCCCAGTAACATTTCTACACCAGTAGATCAGAACATATCTTACCTTTCACCAGAGAATCTTCTTGTGTAGATGCCAGTTAACACAAGTCTCTCAGTGGGTCAATGTGCAGAGAATAGGAGACCGTTGAGTGCTCAGCCCTAAGTCAAACATTCATGTCCCACTCCTTCCTCCAAGGCTCAGGGATCTTTTCAGAAGACGTATGAACTAGAGGCGGTGGATAACATCAAGGAAACAGTACTTTCTAGACACAGCAGGGCAGTTGCACGTATGAACTCAGAGGGATGAGACAGCATGTACAAGATCTAAGCAAGCTCAAGCCACATAGACTCCAGCATCGAGGTGAGATGGTAGGTACCAAATCCCACCATTAGCTAAGGAGCTATTAATAGCCGCAGGGAGAGCGGGAAGAGTCAGTTCTCTTCATTCTCTTTAATTATACGATCCTTGTAGGTTCAGCCACAATCTCAGGACTAGTTGGAACAACACCAACTAGACTAGATGGGGAAAAGTGGCTCCAAGTTGGGTCAGAAGAGGGGGAAAGTTTGAGATGGGGATGAGTTGGGCCAGTGAATATATTTCAACTATGCTTAAACATTTTCTATGTATATATGCTGTGTGCACAGTGTTCCCTGGTGGACAGAAGAGGTCACTGGGTCCTCAGGAGGTGGGGTTACAAGCAGCGGTGTGTGAGCGGCTCACTGTGGATGCTGAAAATGAACTAGGATCTTAGCTGTTGAGCCAGTTCTCCAGCTCCTGAAATATCTATTATTTTCAGACAGGGGCTTTCTTTGTCGACCAGGTCTTTTAATTTTTTTTTTTTTTTTTTTTTTTTTTTTTTGTTTTTATTTTTTTTTTAGTGTGTGTGTGTGTGTGTGTGTGTGAGAGAGAGAGAGAGAGAGAGAGAGAGAGAGAGAGAGAGAGAGAGAGAGAGAGAGAGAGAATGTGAATTTGTACCATGGTTGGCACACTCAAAGGTCAAAGAGGCCACATCTTTGGAGCTGGACTTTCAAGCTGTTCTGGGCAGCCCATCCTGGGTGCTGGAAAACGAACTTGGCTCCTCTTCAGCTGTAGTGCAAACTGTTAATCACTGAGCTATTTCTCCAGGCTCAGTAACAATTCGTTCTTAGTCTTTCTTTCTTGTGAGTTTCACAATTCCATAATCTGTTCTCTTCCGTCATCCAATAGTTCCGTCGTGATATTTGATTTACGAATACATTGTCTTTTTTGTCGTTGTTATGAATCTCAGGATATCTGAGAAAGTGAGAGCATTCCATATACACGGTGAGAAACCTAAATGGAGATGATGCGCTAGGAACTGTCAGTATCTCTTTATCTCTTGGGTAACATTGCTTTTTGAGTATCCAATACAGAGCAGAATTGAAAAGGTCGTTTATTGTTAATTAGTATTTTTTTTTCAGTACTGTAAACAGCTGAACTTAAAGAGGCAGGAACACTGGGAAAATGTCAATTTCCTGGAGATCTCTAATCCCTTTTAGGCAGTGAAGGCAAGAAGGGGTAAACTGAGACACGGAATCGGCCTGTTTATCGCAGCCTTGGCTTCTCGAAGTGACCACTGTAAGTTTAATTCAAGTTTTTACTTTTTGAGGAGGGCCGCGATGTTGAAGGACAGAGCCAAGGAGACAACAGCAAAGAGCAGAACCAAGGAGTTGCAGAGCCGCTTAAAGCAAAAGCCACTAAAGTTTCCAAAACCGGGAGAGAGGCGTGAAGTCAGCTTGGCGCCCTGAGAAAAACAGGAGGGCCGAGCGGCCCGCCCGACTTCCGCCTCCCGGGGCCTGGGCGAGTGGCGGCCCGCGCGTGCGCAGTACGCCCCTCTCCCCCCCCAGCCCGCTCCTCTCCCCGGCGGTCTCCAATTGGCGGTGCGGGAAAGGAAGCCGAAGGGGAGCCGGGAACCCGGAAGTACTTGTCGGCAGAGGCCTGGGCGACTCTTTTGAATGGAATCGGGCTGATTCATCGCCGGTTCTCGGAGCCAGGTCCTTGTTGAGTGTGAGGCGCTGCTCCCGTCGCCGGGTTGCCGCAAAGCCAGGTAGGGTGCAGACCGCGACCTCCCTGCTGGCGGCCTCAGCCGAACCCCGAGGCGGGCCCGGGAAGATCCGGGAGCCAGCCGCGCTAGGCCGCCGCAAGCCCCGGGCTTTCCTGAGTCACGTTGCCCGGCCAGGTTGCCCGTGGAGTCCGGGGCCTGATGGGAAGCACCGGCCCCTTGGCCTTCTCTTCCTATATCTCCGGCTCTCTGGCAGAGTCCGGTTTGGATGTCACCTCCTTGCAAACATTTCTTCGTTCCTCTAGCTTAGGAGCCTTTTCCCCATCAAGTAGCAGAACCCTGTTTATGGCCTGTTTGTGTTCGTCTTCAGCCCTCCCGTGTTGAAAACTTGTATACAGTCTGAGGAAGCAAAGGAGAGAGGGTGGACTGAGCTAGTTTCAAGAGTGCATGTTTTCTTCATCGTTTGTATTTTAGGTTTAAAAACCTTCAGAGAGGCATTGTTTTTGATCCTGAATATTTTTAAAATAAGGTTTGGTTATTCCTGCTGTGCCATTGCTTGCAGTATTTGCTCCATTTGGGTGCTGGTCTGTGGGTTGGTTACAATTCTTTTTATAAGTAAAGTAGAAACCAGCTACCGCTGCTGTGGCTTATTGGAACTCTGTTTTTCTGTGAATCGAGGTCTTTGTCAAAAGAATAACGTCAACATTTCAAAAGTCTTAGGAAATTTTGTGATCGTTTGTTTACTTATTAACTTATTTGGAGACAAAGTCTCTGTATTTCTGTTTGATCTAGAACTAATTATGTACACCACGCTGGCCTGCCTCAGTTTCCCAAATGCTGCAATTACAGGCTTGTAATCCCTCCCACCTCAGCACAGAGTGAAAAATGATTGGAACTGAAATGACAACCAGGTTCCATTTCGTGGTGAACAGTTTTAATCCCAGCCCTCTGGAAGCAGAGGCAAGTTTATCTTTTTGAGTTCAAGGCCAGCCTGGAGAAACTGAGTTCCCTGTCATCAGGGCTGGCTGGATACACAGTGAGGCCCTGTCTCACAACAAAAAAATAAAACCCAAACATTAATAAACATTTGCCATAAAAGGCTTTCAAATTAGCAAAGAAATACAGTTCTAGTGTGATCACCCCCAGCACTCGGAGGAAAAGGTTGGGGAATGGCCGGAAGTTTGGGGCATCCTTATTTGTGTAAACTGGTTACAGGCAGTCCAGGATAAAGGGAAAGACCTTGTTCTGTAACTTCAGATAAAAGCATATGTGGTGGTTTTTTTTTTTTTTTTGTGGTGGTGTTTGTTGTTGTTTGTTTGTTTTTGAGATGTCGTCTCTCCACACAACCCAGGCTAATCTCTAACGGCTGTGATCCCCTGCCTCAGCCTCCCCAGTGCTGACATTTTAGGACTGTGCCTCAACACCGAGCCCTTGTACTGCTGCAAGCACAGTGTAAGTAAAGCAACAAGACAAGCGCTTCCCTGTGTTGAAAACGGAAGCTGCGCCAGAGTGTCAGGGAAGATAACTACTAAGGGTGGCCTTCTTGCCTGTTAGCTCACAAAGTGGTTCATTTTTAATGTTTGAATTGTACGATTTGGTGCCTAGAGAGATAGCTCAGTGTTGAGAGTACACAGCAGCGCACACTTTAATCCCAGCGCTCAAGAGGAGGCAGCGGCAGGCAGATCTCTGAGTTAGAGGCCAGACTGGTCTACAGAACGAGTTCCAAGACAATCAAGGCTACACAGAGAAACCTTGCCTCAACAAAACAAAACAAACCCCCCAAAAAGACCACCTACTACAATTGCAGAGGACCCAGGTTCTGTTCCCAGCACCATATCCAGTGGCTCACAGCGGATTGTAACTCTAGCTCTGCAGGTGTCTCCAGGCATCTGTCTGTACAGATGTGCAGATGCCCACCCACGTACACGGACGTAATTAAAAATAATACAAATAAATTTTTTAATTATCTGGCTTAAACAAAGTGCACAGGCCGTGTATGTACAGATATTAAGGTGTACAGTGGTTCATAATTAACTATAGTTTAGGTATACTTGGTTGAAAACTGGAAGTTGTCTTGAATTTGTGTAAAGTAAAATTAAATCTTGTCAAAAGAAAAAAATTTTGAAGTCATGATGTTTTATTTTAGTCTCGCCTATAGGGTTTGTGACATCCACCCCAGCCTCACCTCCTGAGACCTTTCGTAATAATGCATTGCTATTCTAGTTAAAGCGCTGGATTTCGACCACAGTGACTGGATTCATCGTCTTTTTAGACTTGCCATATAAACCTTACATTAGTATAGTACGTAGATTCAGAATCACTCATTTGAAAGTCAGTAAGAAGCAGCAGTTGTGCCTTTTTGGTTTTCATATTCCAGCAGTGTTTTGATATTCAGGGTCTGCCTGGGAAGGCCATGCCTGCTTAATGAGGTACGCACGCCATGTCTGCTTGTGATACCTTGTTATCCTCATCTGTCAGGTGAAAGCATTAGGTTGAATGATCTTTATCAGTTTTAAGAGAGCTGTAGCTGTGAAAGCATTTATTGGGTTCCCAGGATATTCCTTCCAGGCTCTGTTTTAGACACTTTTGCTCTATTGTGACAGCAGACTTGGCAAGGTTACATATTTTGTAAATGAACTTTAGTGTCTAATTCTAGAAGAAAGTAACTTGTTCTACATAATGTAGCAGGTAGATGGTGAGATCTGGATTCAGATGTAAGTTGAGTGGTTCTAGAGCCGTTCTTAACTCTGTATTTTCCTATTGCATATTTAAATTTTGAGTGCACAAGGTAGTACTTTGCAAATGTTTTGTTTAAATGTTTTAATGAGTGACATTGTAGTAGATAGCTATATTTCTTCTAAGACTAAATTCTTAGTCTTCTCAGTGGGGACTCTTGTTTTCTAAATTTTAAAATGTTCATTCTCTGAAAGAAAGAGAAAGAGACAGACAGACAGGGCTGGAGGAGGGGAGAAAGAATCTGGACAGCCTGCAGCATTCAGTCCACTGACTGCCAAGAATCCCAGGACTGTAGACCATGTGGGTTTGGTGCTCAGACTAATCATCAGGCTAGGCAGCAAGCTCTTTCCCGTACAGCCACCTTTCTCCCAATCTTCCTTTGAAGTTTGTAGTTCCAGTGAGTACTCAGGAGGTAGGGTTGCTGCAGGTGTGCCACCAGCTTGGTCTGTAGCAAGGTTCAGGCCAGCCAGGGCCACGTGTTGAGACCCTGAATTGAAAATCAAAAGGTGGAAAAATTCTATTTAAATAATTAAATTTAATTTTTACTCTTACTGATTCTGATTTTACTGGAACAAAGTGAGGAAGAAGTTCCTACTTCCACAGATTGGCGAATAGAGAATTGAAGCTGTAGAAATCTAGTGAGATCACAGATCTGAAGTAGTTCGAAAGGATTTACTATTAGTTTGAGAATGTTTGTTTACATGGGAAGTGAAGCAGTGAAGTAGGAGATGAGGATAAGCCTTAATGACGAAACACTGTGATTTTGTATGAAGGATATGTGTTTTTGGTATGTTAGGATCCCTAGTAAAGTTTGAAAGGTTGAAAACTCAAAACTAATGCAGCTGTGAAGGTCCTGCTTTTTAGATAGTCGTCGTTTCATACAGTACCAGTAAGAATTTGAGAACTGATTTAAAGTTAACATGTACATGCTCTAAAATTACTGCATTTTAGTCCTGACACTGCCCCTAGAGCTTAAGTGGTGAGTCACATTTCAAGTAGATGCTTGTTTTGTACACTTTCCTATGAGGGTTCTAGATGTCACTGTGTGTATGTGTGTTATACATGTACGTGAAACACTTCGTGTTGTGCTAATAAACGTGTTAAGCAAAGTTATCATTTTGGGGTGGAGAGAGGGGCCTCAGTGCTAATAGCACTTGTTCTTGCACAATAGTCAGCTTTGGCCCCCAGCTCCCACATGGCCGCTTGCAACCATTTGTAACTCTAGCTCTAGGGGATCTGGGGCACCAGTCATTTATGTGGTGCACATACATGCGTTCAGGCAAACCACTCACACACATAAAAATAAAGTAAATTGAAGAAAATATCAAAGTGAGTCTCTTATGAGTGTGCTCTTAAGTCCTCAGTTTTTTGACATGTGTAAGCTTATTTTAGATCTATAAACCTTTTAAATTGCTTCTATTTCTGAGAATTGAAGGTATTTTCTTTTAGCCAGGTGTGGTGGCAGCTCACACCTTTAATCCCAGCACTTGGGAGGTAGGTACTGGTGGATCTCTGTCAGTTCGAGACCAGCCCAGTCTTCAGTGTGGGTTCAAGGACAATTGGGGCTACACAGAGAAACCCCATCTCCAAAAGCAAAACAAAACAAAAGAGTTCTTTTTTTATGTTATGGTGCACAGTTTATCTTTTGAACCTCTTTGCTGAATTCTGAAAATTATGTTCCTGTCTCCCATGTGATGAATTCATTTCTGAGACATACTTGGTGTTCTGAAGTCCACTAAGTGGCTTCAGAGTGAGAAAGAAGCTGCTCTAGGATGGTGAATGCTGATGCTAAAGCCATTTTGTGTAGCGGGTACCATCCCTAGCGTATTACATGCCTATGATCGTGTTGAATGTGTTTCTGCGTGCACTGACTTCTTTCTTCTAAATGGCTCTGAGATCCAGATGTTCTCTTTTTGTGGATGAGGATGTTGCAGAGGAGAGGTAATTGACAGAGGGACGCTCTGCTAATGAATATTAGAACCAGTTTGCGTTTCTGCTGCAGGATGATAGCACATAACCCCCATATACTAAGAAAGGTAGTCATTGTTTATCTCATCCTGTGGACTGTTTTATTTCTTGCACTTTTAGATTATCTTGGTAATAACTTAAAGATAGAAAATATAGGGATGGCGAAAATGATATTCGAGATGTTAATAAGCTGTGATTTAGTGGTTATAAGTGATTATTCTGTATTTTTCCTATTTGGAAGTATAGGTAGCTCAGATGGGCAGCATCCTTTGAGTGTACCTAGCCTGGACTGTCTGTCTCTGTGAAGATTAGTTTGATAGGAGCTAGGTATAGTTCAGTCATAGAATGCTTGGAAGAAGCTCTAGGTTCGATCCTCAGGGCTGCCAAAAATCCTAAAGTGTAAGTACACGTTTAGTAGGACTGTGAGTGTGACACAGTAAAATTGTGATTTAACTGTTTTTGATATGTAGTTCTGCAGTGTTTAGTTTATTCTCTTTGTTGAATCACTGTATCACTACCTCCCATTTCCAGAGCTTTTCATTTTCCCATTTGTAATACTTTTAAAAACATTGACAGCTCATGATTTTGTTGAATGGAGGAGAGCCATCATATTTGTCTCAGTTGTAAAACATTTTATTTTTAGATTTATAAATACCAATTAGAATTGACAAATGGAATTACATGAAATTAAAAGGCTTCTATACAGAAAAAAAAAGTATCAGCAGAGTGAACAGACAGCCTGCAGAATGGGAGAAAACCTTTGCCAGTCTCACTGTCCACCAGCACGTGAATGGACCTGTAAAGGTGGCCCGTACAGTAGAATTTTATTAAATTGTAAAGAAAAGTGAAATTGTGAAATTTGCGAGAAAATGAATGAAACTGGAAATTAGGACATTAAATAAGGTCATTTACCTAGGTTCATAAAGACAAATACCATGCGCTCTCTCTCTCATATGTTGATCCTAGTCTAATTTTTATAAATGTGTATTTGTGGGAGATTGGATAAAGATCAGGAAGGTAGATGGAGTCTGTCCTATGGGGGAAATGGAGCTTTAAGAAAGGAACTGGGAAGGCAATAGGACAAATGTAACGGGAGGTGGGAAGGGAGTGCTGGGACAGGAATGGTGTCCAAGGGGAGGGGCTGGAGACTGGAAAGGCCTGATGGGACGGGTGGGTGACCCAGCAAAGTCAAGCATGATGAAAATGCTGTATGTTTCAGTTTTCTTGATTTCCTCTAATAGACTTAGTGTATTTTTCATATAAGTGGAATCACATGATGTCCCTATTGCTGTTATAATCCCCCTCCCCTGTTAAAAAAATTTAGGGGAGAAAGGAATTATTTTTATCTTTTAAATTCAGATTGTAGTCCATCATCACTTCGGAGAAGTCAGGGTTGGAGTTTGAAGCACACAGTCCCTTGACATCAACAGTTAGTAACAGAAATGAGTGTGTACCTAGTACTCAGCTAGCTTTCTCTATTCTTGCCCAATCTGGGACCCCAAACCAGGGAATGATTTTGCCCGGTTTCTGGCTATGTTTTTCCATATAAATTAAGGCAATTAAGACAGTCTAAACAGCCCCCCCCCATATGTGCCCTTAGGCCAACCTGATCTAGATAATCTTTTATTGAGACTCTTCTCAGCTCAGAGCCATTCTAGGTTATGTCAGCCTGGAAGTTAAAACCATCACTCGTGCTAGGCCTGGTTCACCCCTCCCTCCCTCCCTCCTTCCCTCCCTCCCTCCCTCCCTCCCTCCCTCCCTCCTCTCCCCCTTCATTCCTTTTTTCTTGTGCTAGGGATTGAGCTCAGCTTTTACACCAAGGCAAGCACTCAGTAGAGCTGGGCTACATTTCCAGTCCTTACGTGTTTTCAGGTTCAGCCAGGTTGTAAAATGTGTCATTACTTTGTTTTTTTTTAATAGCCAAGTTCATGCATTCTATTGTATGTGTATATGATAGAATTTGTTTATTCACTGTGTGATGGGCATATGGACTACTGCCACATTTTGGGTATCATGAATAGTAATGCTATACACATGAATGCACATGTCTTATTTTAAAGATGTGTTTTAAATTTTGTGGCATATATCTAGGAATAGAATTGGTGGGCTGTATGGTAAATAATTCTGTTTAAATTTTTGAACAACTGCCACATTGTTTACAGAACTCCTTGGTTTTTAAGTTTGAAAAAATTTACTTAGGATAGTGTTATCTCAAAATTCATAACTTCAGATTTTGTTTATAGCAGTGCTTTTCAATTGTGAGTGATTTTGCCCTACTGAGGGACATTTAACAGTGTTTGGAGACTTTTTTTTATTGTCAATGTGTTAGTCATTTCTGCTAACATATAATGTGTAGGGGTCAAGGATATTTCTAAAACTCTGTAATACAGTAGACAGCCCCACGGCAGAATTCAAGGTTCTGGATGTTATTAGTACCAAAGTTAATACTCTGATTTTTGACTGAATTTTACTGTCAGCAGAGACAAGAGTGCCTGCTGCTTTGCATTCACTTGGGATCCGCAAAAAGAATGAAACTTTTGCCAGGTAGTGGTGGCGCACACATTTAATTCATTCCAGCACTTGGGAGGCAGAGGCAGGCAGATCTCTGTGAGGTCAAGGCCAGCCTGGTCTACAGAGTGAGTTCCAGAACAGCCAGGACTGTTACAGAGAGAAACCCGGTTTTGGAAAACCAACCAACCAACCAACCAACCAACCAACCAACCAAACAAACAAACAAACAAACAAACATAAACAAAAAAGAATGAAACATTTCTCTCTCAGTGTTTATCCCTTTGCGATTGTGGGTGGAAAATGTAAACTTGTAAATTTTGAAGTGTGTTCAGAGAGGGAAGTAAAGACGTATTTAGTGTTTCTGGCCTTTTGTTTTCTTGTGTTTTTTGACAGGGTCTTATTGTGGAACTTGGACTGGTTTCAAACTCAGGGTCTTCTGCATATTTTTGAAAGCAAAAGCAATGCTTTTGTCAACATAGTAGGAATTAAAGGATAATATTGTTGCTATAATTTATTTCCCTCTCATTTTATACAGTTCTTAATGCTTTACATTTTTTTATTTTATCATAGTTGTGAATAATTAACGGGTGAACTAATTGCAAGAATTGTGGAGGTCGTTTTCAAGATAAATAATGCTAGTAGAGTCTTTTATGTACAAGTTTCGAAATTTGTATTGAACCTCTATGCAGATTAATTATAATAAAGTGATTCTTACTCTTTTTAAAACTATAAGTAAATATTATGTTTTGAGAGACCTCAAGGAATACTGAGAGCTATAAAATACCAGTCCTCAGAGTCAGTGGCAAAAGTAGAATACATTACACACGATGTAACAGTGATCTCTATACCTAGCAACTGCATGGGTGGTAAATATATCCGTGCTCTCTAGAAATAATTGTTAAAAATCAGTGTTATAGCTGTGATGTAAGAGTGTTTGTCTAGCATGGGTGAGGTCCTGTCCAGTCCCTAGCACTGGGGGGGGGGGGATGTTGACTTCTATTTCATTTGCAGAACTTTGCTTATTTTAGAGATTCTTCTAGGGGAGATGAAAAATAGTCTCAGTTCTCAATTCAGTACCTTTCTTTTTTAGGGGAGAGAGAGAGAGAGAGAGATAAACTACTTGTGAAAAATTATACCTGCCAAAATTAGGAAGAATTGGAGTTAATAAGGAACTTGCCAAATTCAACAAATTGAAGCCCAACACTGTAAGAGTGATAGTCACTGAACAGGTAAGGTTTAAGAGTGTATTTTACCTTGAACTGTTGTTTTAGGATCTGATAGATGCTATGTAAATGTATTATCTTTAACAGAAATCAAATTATGAATATGTGTGATAACCAGATTTTAGAAAGTTGTATGATTTAGAATATTTATCAATATATTTCATTTCCAAATGTTAGTATTTTTGTAAAATGTGTTCATCTTAAGTGTTTTAATTTGTTAAATATCTTTTCTTGTTTGCTGAGACATCTAGTTTTGTGAAAAACACAAATTTGACCTGCCAGATTTTTCTTTCCCTCTGCTCCCCACATCGCTCATGTATATTCACAGCATCTGGAGTCTGTGTAATATCATTAGAAACAGCACAGCGAAAGTAGCTAAACTAACACAGCTGGGAATCGACTTTGTATGTACTCTGAAATGTATGTCGCCACCCCCATTGGTTCTTTAGCTTTGTGAGATTGAAGTGGTCCAAAAATTTTTTTCTTTAGAATTACATTGTAGAGAAAAATCCTTAATATTTTAAGATACACAAGATTGTTTAAAAGGGATTGTACTGAATCACTATTTGAGTTGAGGAACTTGATAGAGATGATATTTGTAATTATAATTAGGCAGATAAGTATGGTTGTGAAGATTAGATTTTGCCTGAAATACCAAATTTTCTTGCCTTTTCATTTATACAGATGAATTTATCTGTTGTGAATCTCACAGACATGTGTGAAAGAAAAAGTCAGACAAAAAAAATCTGCGGTTCTGTTTTTATGCCATTTTAAAGTAGCAGAACTGTTCTGTACCGTTAGCAGCCAGAACCCCATTTGCCTGGAGTCGTAGAGCCTGGAAAGGTGTTCCCAGGGCATTTCATGTGGCTTTTTAATGTAGGTGATGGTTTCATCAGCCAGTGTCCTCGCTGGGAAGTGCCCGGCTTTGTCGTTTGTGTGCCTTTCTGTGTGCAGACTTGACCAAGTTTGTGATGTTGTGATTGTTAAATATTAGCAGGACTGAGTTGTTACCAACTGGTTCAACAAACATAATTGGGCAGAATTGTGATGATTTAAGTATGTTATTGGAGTTTAGTTTGCAATAGTTCTAATTGATAAAGCTTGAACAAAAACTAATCTCTTAACACTTAGTTTATATTATAATTTGTGATAATCTAAGTATGCACTTAGTAAGAAGATGAATATAAGGCACAGTCGTAGCTTTTAAGTAAAAATACAGTTGCTTTGTTTTCATTTTTGGACTTAGTTACCCTCCTATCCTTGAATAATTTGGTTCTTTATTCTGTATCCAAGGCCATGTAAGTACAACTACCATTTCTTTCCTCTTTCTTTTGTGAGCTTCTTGTGCTTTTGAGTATTTTCTTTAGTTATTCCAGATGCTGAAGATAAACTCATATCTCAAAGTTGTAATAATTAACTCAGAAATTGGGATTGAGAATAGCAGCCATGAAGGAATGTGTATCTCTACATCTGAAATAAGTGTATCTGCGTGGGTTCTAGGACACTATCTTAATGCATTTAATGTTTACTCTCTAGTATTTTCTTTTAATATAATGAGTTCACTTTTAAAAAGCCTTTGATGCTAATTCAGAGATCCATACTCTACTCACAGTGTCTTTCACATGCAGTTTGATGATAACTGACAAGCTGTAAGTTAATTAGCGCAGCACTTACTAATGAGGATGTTAAAATTTAATTTAAAAGTGTAGATTTTTATTTGTACACTCCAAACAAATTGAAGGAAATTCAATCATACATATGATAAGTATTCCAGGCACTTCCCCCATCCAGGTACTTTATTAGATAACAATAAGAAAATATAATTAACTTAAGGATAGCAAAGTTTTGAAAGTATGCTAAGATTGCTTGTCTTTAAAACTGGGGATAACCCAAAACCAAAGCAGTGAAATAAGGTCTGTTAATTAGCATGGAAGACAGCTTCTTGAATTAATATGTGGTGTTAATTAACAGGAAGTCTGATGTTGTGTTGTAATTACCACCAATATTTTTGACATACTGAGTGACTGAAGGTGAATTATATAGATAGCAATTGAGTAAACACTTTTGTGCTTAGGAACGTTTTCCTTTGTTTCTGTTTTCTAGAAATATGGACAGACTTCTTAGACTTGGAGGAGGTATGCCTGGACTGGGCCAGGTTAGTATGCAAGACTGTTTCTTAGTGTGTAAGCAACAAGCCTTTATGTACTCTTGACTGAATCTCAGCACCAAGTAGCACTTGAAACATCCTTTTCTCCTGGTAATGCGAATTTTGTTCTTGTTCAGTTGTTTGGTTTAAAATGTTGGGATATGTGAGCTTATTAAGTTGTCTTTTCAAAAAATAAAAGCTTAAAACATGTTATTTTTAAGTTTATAACACAAATTTTTTAATGTTACACATGAAAATATAGCATGGCGTACTTTTTAGTGGATCAGAAAATGAATCCATTGACTCAGTCTGTAGTCTTAACTTTAAACTTAACTTTAGTAGTTATATACATGGGTGAGCTGATAATAGCTACTTTTTACCATTAGTGTTTCCTTTGATGTTTTTATGCTTGCTTTTATACTGTTAATTAAAATTAAATGCTCTTTCAGTTGTTTTTGTATCGTTTATTTTGTTGAGGATACTGGGTAGCTGGTTTCTGGAAGGGTCTCTGTTGGAAGGTCTTCTGTTTGCCTCCAGCTAAAGAGGTATTCTCTTTTGTTGCGTAGAGGCTCAAAGCCCAGGCCTTACATGTGCTCAGCAAGTGCTCTGCCACTGCTCACCGCCCAGCACTTTCCCTCTAGGTTCTGATGATATTTCTCGTTATCTGTTCCCTTAATTAACGAAAGGTTATTAAATATCATTTTCTTTTGCAACTTTAGTCTCTTAGTTCCCAGTTTTCTTTCATATCGTTTTTTTTCTTTTTTTTTTTTTAGTCTCTTAGTTCCCAGTTTTCTTTCATATCGTTTTTTTTCTTTTTTTTTTTTCATTTCTATATTACTATTAGTATGTTGTCTTCTTTCATTCAAATAAAGAGGAAGAAACACAGTTTTGAGACTTAAAACTTAAATGATTTGTGTGTTTGTTTTAAAAGCACCTTACATAATCTTGATTAGGCCTTCCATGGTCTGTTATTGATAAATACTTTAAAAAGTGCCATTTTTTTTGTGATTATCTTATTGTGTGCTGAAGCAGACTAAAATTTCATTTGTTTTTGTTAGTTTTGAACATTTTTTATACTTTATTGTTAGCCAGTTTCATTATGGGACTTCACTTTCTTTATCTATGTAAATTCACTCTCTGTCATGGAGATACTACAAATTTATGTGCAAATTGTAAGGCATTGCCTTAGCAGAATTCTTCACTGAAGTTGAGTCATATCTGGATACCAAAATAGCTTTCCTTAATTATTAGATATGTTATTTATTCATATTATAAATCTGCTCTGAAAATTGCTATACATGAAATAATGGCCGCAGACTGAGTTAATATTGTTTCACAGTCATCTCTGTAAACCTTTGTAGAATGTGGGAAACTCAGTCAGTGTTTGCTCTCTTTTGTTTCTGATTTTATTAGCTAACCTCAGGGTCCTCAGTTTGTAAATTTGTTGGAACTTCAATATGTCTTACTTAGCAACCTACTATTTCATGTATTTCCCCTCTCTGGTTAGGGGGCAGGCTCTCAGAAGAATAATGTGGAGGAATTCTTCTTGTGGTATCTCTTTTTTTCAAATACTAGGTGATCTATTTTTTTCTCTCTTAAATTTTACTTTGCTCTTGTTTACTTCCTCTTGGGAATGTTGCAGAACAGTTCAAAGTAAAACCAGGAGTTACCATCAGATTACAAGTTCTGGGCTTTGTCCTTAACCATATTGCCATGACTTTAGAGGCTGGCTGCAGTGCAGATGTTTCCAAGTTTGACCCACTAACTATGGACTTATAATCCTCTGGACCCTCTCAGCTTTGATAATTTCTACTGTTCTTATTAGAGTTTTGTTGTCAAGGGTACAGATGAAGAAAATAAGACAACAAAATGAAGGGCTTCTGTGTCTTATGTAATCAGCTTGTGTTACTGCTTTGCAAGTCATTGTTCATTAGCTAGGAAGCTCCACGTGCTTCAATGGGCCCGAAGTAAAGGCTATTTTTTGAAATCTCAGTACCTGTGCTGGTTGATTAAGCCATTGACCACAAAAACTGAGCCTAATCTTTAGCTCCTTTCTTTTCATCAAAATGGGTCACCCTTAGTGTTCTAGTTAGGGTTTCCATTGCTGTGGAGAGACACAACGCCTATGGCAACTCCTCACTTACAGTCAGAGATTTAGTCCATTATCGTCATGGCAGCAAGCAAGGCAGTGTGCAGGCAGATATTGTGCTGGAAGGAGCTAAGAGTTCTTACATCTTGCTCCCGCAAGCAACAGGAAGTGATCTTTCTCACTGGATGTAGCTTGAGCATATATGAGACCTCAAAGCCTCCACGTGATACATTTTCTCCAACAAGACCACACCTACTCTATAAAGCCACACCTTCAAAGAGTGCCTCTCCTCTTTGGGGGCCATTTTCTTTCAAAACACCACAGGCTCTTTCTGACTCTCTGTCTACATAACTCCCTGACCCGTGAGGGAGGGGTTTAGGAGTGAGTACTCCAAAACCTCCCTCTCTTTCTGTGTTAATTCCCATCTACTGCAAGAAGCTTCTCTGGTGTGGGTTGAGTAGTGCATAGATTTATGCATGTAGCAATATGTCACTAGGAGTCATTTTATTGCTATTTTCCTTTCATATAGGCTTATGACCTATATCTAGTCTCAGGTTCTTGACTCAGGTTTAGCATTGTTAGTTATGAAATCTGTCTCATGACCTGGTTTAAGTCCAAGCAATAAGTAGTTGGTTATTCTGTACATTTGTGCCACTATTGCACCAGTATATCCTGCAGGACGGTCATTGTTGTAGAATGCAGAGTTGGTACCTGGATGATATTGATGATTCCCTTTGTCTTCCAGTAGTATACAGACTCCCTTCTAGTACCATGAATGCTAGTCAGTGGGGGTGAAGATTCTGGTTAGGCACCAAGCTCTCTTTCTTTAATTGTGTAAGTATTGTCTGCAGTAGGACCTAACTTTCAGATTGCAGAGAGCAACCAATAGACTTGACAATAGCTTGTGATGTTTGGGGGTTTCCTTGACTCGCTGAGTTTTATTCAATTGCATACAATGTCTTGGTGGGACATTATTGCCCTTATTATTTGGTGACTCCATTTAGATTTTTATCATATATGTGTATATGAGTAAGCTTCTACAGTAGTAGGTGTTTCAGATGGCCTTTAGTATTAATTGTCCCTCCCCAATATCTCATGAGTTTCTCAGATTCTCCTCCCTGTTTAATTCTCCTGTTCTAGTTTTCCCTTTGTCTTGGCATAACAATCTACTAGTCCTTTATATATAACCTCTGTGGTTATTAGGACTGTAATACAGATGTTGAAAGTTAGCATCCACATATAAGAGAAAACCTTCAATATTTGTCCTTTTGGGTCTGGGTTATCTCACTCAGGATGATTGTGCCAACCTGCAACCATTTACGTGCAACTTTTGTAATTCATTTTCATTATCTGTTCATTAGTTGCTGAATGTCTATGCTACTTCCAATTTGTGGTTATTATGAATAGAGCAGCAGTGAACATGGATGAGCAAGTGTCTCTGTGATAGCATATAGAGTCCTTTGGGTATATGCCCAAAGGGTGTAGCTGGATCTTAAGGTATATTGATTCGCAGCTTCCTGAGGAGCTACCACACTGACTTCCATATTAGCTGTACAAGTTTGCACTCCCACCAGCAATGAGTAAGTGTTCCCCTTTCCCTGCGGTCTCACCACCATGTACTGTCATTTATTTTATTGATTTTGGCCGTTCTAACTGCAGTTAGATGAAATCTCAAAGTTTAATTTGCATTTCCCTGATGGCTGAAGATATCGAGAATTTTAAAAAGTGTTTCTCAGTCATCTGTGTTTCATCGTATGAGAATTTTCTGTTCTCTACTCTATTTTTAACGGAGTTATTTGTTTTCTTGATGTTCATTTTCCTTTATGTATTCTAGATGCTAACCCTTTTTCAGATATAGAATTGATGAAGATATTTTCTCATTCTGTAGGCTGCTGCTTTGCTGAATGTTGGTGTCCTTTCCTGTAAAGAAGCTTCTCAGCTTCATGAGGTCCCATTTATTAGTTATTGTTCTTAGTGCCTGAGCTCTTGGTTTCTTTCCTCTAGCAATAAGTTCAATACTATTTCTCACATTCTGTTCTAAACATAATCAGCTTCGGGAACATTGTTGTTATATTGAGGTCCTTGATCTATTTGGAGTTTTTTTGCAGGGTGAGAGATACGGATTATTTTCTTTCTTCTGCATAAACCAGTTTGACCTACACCATTTGTTGAAGGTGCTGTCCAATGACCCATGTATTCTGAGAACTTGGTTTATAATATAGGTGTCATTACTGGTGAAGTGGAAGGCCTAGTCAGTAAATGCTGTTGAATTAAGTGGCTTTCAGTATTTGGGAAAATGAAAATTGTATCCCATCCTTATGTACGCACAAAATATTTATCAGATAGGTTGAATCATCTACGTAGGAAACCAAACTTTATAGTTTTGAACAGTATCCCTTTTGGGTGGCTATTGTCATTCCAAACCAAAGTAGACATTGTTAGGCATCGGGAATTGGAACATTTGCACCTTGACAAAGAACATGAAATGGTGTAGCTGTCATGGAAAACAGTGTGGTAAGTTTTTGGAAGATTAAAGATAGAATTTCATTGTGATACAGCAGTCCTATTTCTGAGTGTAGGACCAAAGAATTAACAGCAAGACTACAACATATTTGAATATCAGTGTTTAAAGCAAACATATATAACAACCAAAAGATGGAAACAACCCAAATGTCCTCTAACAGTTGAGTGGGTAAATGAGGTGTGGCATATATTCATTTGCACCATGGAATCTAGTTCAGCCGGAAAGGAATGAACTTCTGCCATATGCTATAAGGTTAGTATACTTAGAACTGGTCTGGAACTTCTTGCTATGTAGACCAGTTGTGCCTCAGTTTTATGTAAATCCACCTGCCTCTGCCTTCTGAGCACTGGGATCAAAGATGTGTGCCACCATGGCTGCTAAACACATTTTAAATGA